TTTTTTTAGAGAGAGAGAGAGATATATATATATATATATATATATATATATATATATATATATATATATATATATATATATATATATATATTCGGATTTCATAATAAGCCTAGCTCGTTTTCAGTAAGGAAAATGTCTTCATGATAGCTCAATTATTTATATGACTTATATGACCACTGTATTATTTCTGTATAATTTTGTTAGGGTTAGTTTTAATTTTATGTCAACAAAATGTGCTTTTTTTATTGGCATCTTTAGCATTTTTAAATCATGTAATTTATGCCAAAGAAAGAACAGACAGACAGACGCATCATGTAACAATAATCTGTGCAAAATGTAAAACAAAGCATAAAACAAGGAAAAATGGCGTCATACAAGGCATATATGTCCTATAAAAAGACTATATATATATATATATCAATTCTTAACAATAATATTTACTATATATATATATATATATATATATATATATAGTAAATATTATTGTTAAGAATTGAAACTGCTTTTATTCCAGCGAAACTAAATAAAACAAGTTTTTTTTTCTCCAGAAAAATATAATAGTATAAACCTTTTTTTTTTTTTAAACATCTCCTAATGTCACTTATCAACACTTAGTCATTTAAAATAATTGAATTTCACAGAAGAGCTAAAAACTTTGACTTCAACTGTATATTAATTACCTCTTACATGTTTCATTTAAATCAAACTCAACCTAAAATGAGCCGTCTCTTTTTTTATTGTGATGTATCTACTATAAAGTTCACCTCTCCGGGTCGTATCGTGCACTCCAGAGGCCGCTGGTGGAGCTCCAGGTCCAGGTACGACTGTGAGACCCAGGAGAGAGTGGTGTGATTTGGGTGAAACTCAGGTGCCAAGTCAGGTGGGTAAAGAAACCAGCGCTGGAGGAAAACAAACAATTAAACATAATATATGCACAAAAAATGTAAACATTTTATCTGCATTTTAGCTAAGATATAATTGATAAGGAGCATTTTAATTCATTCATTCATTCATTTAATTATTAAGAAATTAATATACACCTGAGGTGATGATCTGGCCACAATATAGCTATGGTTACCACCAGTGTTGAGAAGGGTTACTTTAGAAAGCAATATATTACAATCTTGCAATATAAAAGTAACTAAATTTGGTATTTAGTGACTTTTTAGAGAAAGCAATGTGTTACTCTTTTGTCTGGGCTGGGCTTGGTTGTTTGTTGGAATAAAAAAAAAATATTTGGAAAAACAAAAAGGCACCAAATGTGAAGTCAAAAGTAAACCTCAAACTAAAAGAAATTGAGACTGAAGGGCTATCGATCAATACACGTTAAAGTAACTCGTTTTTAAAGTAATGCATTGCTTTACTTGTAGCTTAAAAAAAGTAATCTGATTAAATAACTCATGTTACTTGTAATGTGTTGAACTCCACTGACCTTCCTGCCGTAGATGACTTCAGAGTATCCGGGGCCGTGCCAGTGAAATGGGACCCCAGTTCCTGGTCCTGCAGGACAGAGAGAGTACTTTTAAAGGAACAGTTCACCCAAAAAAAAAAAAAAACATTTACTCCTTACAAACCACTGCATAAATTGGCAACTTATTTGTTAGAATAAAAACAAATCCATTTGTAATCATCGCTAGAGTCCTCTATTCATAATACATAATATTAAATCATAATAATATTGCGCTGTGGAAAAAGACTGAGGCTGTGCAATGTGTAATGAAATTTTTAATAATTTTTTTTTTTAGACTCAAAACTTGTGTTTCCATCGGTTTGTCTTAATGCCCGTTGTAAACTACTGCATGAGAAACAAATGACTAAATTGGCAAATCTCTAGTAAATATCCCTTAATTTGCTAATTTTTTTATACCCTCTTGAGGTGGTTTTTGAACTTAATGTGAACAATGGAAGATGGAAAACTTCGTACATCACACCTGTGTGATTCGGCTGTCTCTATCATGTTTGTCTTGTTTTCTGTTGGTTGCTTGGTTACCAATACTACAATGAGCTGCTCTAAAGGACGCACCTAATTCACATTTAGGATTTTTTCTTCATTTTGTGAACTTTGAAAAGGTTTCATATTGGGATGGAATACTGGCCAGTGTTTTATTTTATAAGGTCTGAATGTATTGTTTATTAGATCCTAATGTAAGATCATAAAGATGAACTGGAAGCTGTGTCTGTTTTCGTATTGTGACGCAGTTTCTAGAGAAACTGAATATTAAATGAGAAAACAGTGGGCGTGGCTTGTTTTTCTACTGTAAGCTAATTGGATGTAGTAAAGTAGGCATTTCATTTAGAAAGATCGGGAAAAGGGTTAGGAGAGAGTTATTATAATCTAACAGACCTCCTCCTCACTATTCCTGTTTGTTGTCAAACTGACAGTTGGAGGGGCATGGTTAGGTATGTTAGCCACGCCCAATACCTCAGACCGACGTAATTGAGAATTTAACTGAAAACAAACAGGAAGTGCATTTTAAGATTAAACCTAAAGATTACAAGGGAATACTGTTTTTTTTTTCTTAATGACGTGCAGATGAATTGCTCACCACAAAACTAGCAATGTGAGCTAAACAAAATCAATATGGCTAGTTTTGATTTCATGTGTACTTTAATTGTACTAATTTACAAGTTAGTGTACTCTCAGTGCTGGGTTACGGCTAAAAAGGAATCCGCTGTGTAAAACATTTGCCAGAGTAAATGGTGGTTCATTCTGCTGTGGAGACCCCTGATTAAGGGGCTCATTCATTCATTTTTTTTTTTCGGCTTAGTCCCTTTATTAATCTGGGGTCACCACAGCGGAATGAACCATCAACTTATCCTGCACATGTTTTACGCAGTGGATGCCCTTCCAGCCGCAAACCATCACTGGGAAAGTTAACCCAAATAAATGGGTTAAGTGTATTAATTATGTTTTGCCTATTCAATCCAATTTATCTTTATTTATTCAGCACTTTTACAATGTAGATTGTCAAAAAAAACTTAACATAGAAGTTCTAGTTAACTGAAACTACTTCAGTCCCGTTTTCAGAGTTGAAAATATACTGTATAGCTATACTGTGAGTGTTTTTATTTGACTCTCAAAGTGCCATTGACTTGAATTGTATGAATCGCCAAGCACCAAATTCCAGCTGAAAATCTGTAATAGTCTAGGAACAAAAGAAGAAATAAAAGTCACCTACATCTTGGATGCCCCAAGTTTGAGAAAATTAGCAGCACATTTTTCATTTTTGGATAAACGATCCATTTAATTTGTGAAGTTTTTTTAATATGAGCATCCAAAACTCCAAACATACTAGACTGAAGAGTATGCAGAGAAGAAACTTTCAGCTCTCAAAAAAAACAACACAAAATACAGTTATAAAATGTATAATGCTAAGTAAGATAGACTCTTGTTAAGTAAACCCACTGAAACAGATAAAAAGGCTTTCTTATAACGGTTTAACCTACACTTTAGGACTCTATATCTTCTACCAGAGGGAAGCAGTTCATAATGTGGAAACAAAAAATGAGTTGGATCGTTTATAATCCTTTCTAATCCTTTCCACCCAGTATTCCCTATTATATATTATATGCCTATTATATATATTTTTTTCTAAATATGTATATTGTCTTTTTTTTTATTTTTTTTAGCTCGACTGGAATCAGGCTGATAGGTTCACCTAATCTGCGCCATTAACTACATGGTGCAGGAGATTGATTGCTGTCACCTCAGCAGCCAATGAGCTTGCTCCTCATGCATTTAAATGCTCTGCGTCCTTTTACGCTGTTAAGCCTGGCGCATTTTCGGAGACCCTCCTCCACCCCAGCTCCACTTGTGTTTACATCTGCTATGTGGGCTACATTCTCAGATGGCATGTCTGTGTATATACTGGCAGCGGCAGGTCTCGGTACTTGCTCTGCTATAATAATCAATGCAGCAGCAGCAGCATAGCAGATCTATACCGCCAAGACCAAATACATCAACATTGCCATATACATTACCATACTATATCTCGAGAGTGCTCATGACAGAATTTTTGTAACTGCTAAGGTCAATACTTTTAACCTCTTAATAAAATTTGCATTGTTTTTCGGCAACAAAACAAACCACTTTTGTCCAATGACTTGCCTTATTAACCTAGTTAAGCATTTAAATGTCACTTTAAGCTGTATAGAAGTGTCTTGAAAAATATCTAGTCAAATATTATTTACTGTCAACATGGCAAAGATAAAATGAATCAGTTTTTAGAAATAAGTTATTAAAACTGTTATATTTCAAAATTAGTTGAAGAAATCTTCTCTATTAAACATCACTTGGGAAATACTTTTAAAGGAATACAAATTTCACAGGAGGGCTAATAATTCTATATTCAACTGTGTGTGTGTGTGTGTGTGTGTGTACCAGCAATCCCAAAGCTGTACGCAGGGTGGGTGAGAGGAAGAGAAAAAGGTGGTGCTTTATACTCCTCAAACAGAGAACGCCACTCAGTGAAGTTATTGTCCCCAAAGAAGTACAGCGTATCTGAAATAAACATGCACACACATTATAAACATGCTAAAGTGGGAAAAAGCTTATAGAAAGAGCTGATTTTCAGTGTGTGTGTAGAATGAGCGTGAACTGACCACTGCCCAGCGTGTCTTCAGACTGAGGCGTCAGCAGGAACTTCACAAATTCTTCAAACCGGACATCCACTATTAAGGAACCAGGGAAATGAGAGTAGATTTAGCATTTATTTTATATTAAAACTTTACATTTTTGTACTTTTTGTATATAATCTTGTGTTTGGCTGTTAAAGCTAGACTTTTAAAGGTACTTCTCTAAACAGAACTACAGTGAGGGAAATAAGTATTGAACACGCCATGTTTTTTCCTGGGAATGATATTTCTAAAGGAGCTGTTGACGTGGAATTGAGCCGGATTTAGGTAAAAACCCAAACAATACAAATACAAAAATGAAGCAAACTGAGTTAAATGACAAACACAGAAAGTCCTGAACTACTTAAACATATTTAATATTTAATATAAAAGGCTTTTTTTTGGTGATGGCAGCTTAAAGACGCCTCTCATATGGAGAATGGAGTCACATGCATCGCTCAGGTGTGAGTTTTTCAGACTTCAACAGTGTAAAAATCTTGATGGTTCTGTGGGTTTTGTCTATCAAATCTGAGCTTTATTTGGTATTTTCTATTGGATTTACGTCAGGTGATTGGCTGGGCCATTCTACAGCTTGATTTTTTTTTCTCTGAAAGCATTTGAGAGTTTTCTTGGCTGTGTTTTGGATCATTGTCTTGCTGAAATGTCCACCCTGGTTTCATCTTCATCATCCTGCTAATGTAGATATTTGACGGAAGCAGCTAATATTGATTTACACTGAGGAAGCGCAGAGGATTGCTGAAGAACTACTGAGAGATTTCAGCTGCTGTCTGGGCTTTCACTGCCTTTCTAAACTTCCTTTTCTTCATGTGTTCAATACTTTCATCCTGCATCATTTCATTTTATTATGCATGACATCATTTGTGAACTAATTAGATTTTTTTTTCTTTGCATATGCTGTGTGGATTTATTTGGTTGTTACCAACATCTGATGAAAGTTTCACGTTGTGGTGACATGTTTAATACTTATTTCCCCTGCAGAGTGGATGGCAAACATGACCAACCTGAGGTATCAAGACATTTGTGCTGCCCAGTACATCACAAACCACAGGAGAGGGCAAACTCTTCAATTAATTAAGAATCAAGACATGATCATATTTTATTTTGGTAAAATAAGCGTAATCTAGAGGCCTTTGCCTTTCATATTAGCCACTTCTGATAGCAAATGATTAACTAGAAGTCAAGTTATTATTTGTTGTTCCTAAAACTTGGATAGGCGACAAGACTTTGGTCAGGTAGTGTAAATAATTCACTACATACAACTATTTAAAAATATGAAATTAGAGTTAAAGAAATGTCTTGAAATACTAAAAGTTGTCTAAATTAAAGTCTTAGAAGAAAATCTCTCCACAAAAAAATCTTTACTTAATATTCAAATGATTTTAGTCATAAAATAGTAATCGATCATTGACACATACGGTGTACTTTTGGCGATTCCAACAAATATACTTAATTTTGTGTT